TAATTGAAATGATTGTCGTTTATCTGTCAATAGAATTAAAATTAAGAGCGTTTGATTGATAGAGTATTTTCAAAGTCAGTATCAATTAGTTAGCTCACTCTGTCACCCTACACAAATTGAACGAGATTTTAGTGTGGTTCTCTGTTACTGACAGATATCAAAACTTGTCTTTGTTTTTTCAGAAAAATTGCAACTATTTAACTTCATTCTGGGACAGTTAGAAGTAAATAATTCTGACAACAATTTACTGCAATAACAAATTATGTGTTCTCAGAAGATATATAGTCACGTTTTATATGGTAAACTAACTCTTGTGTCCCAATCAATATTACTACATTGAAAAATGGCTAGTTATAAAGTTTATAACACATATTTTATCTTATCTGGTCCTTATTGGCTAGATATCTTAGTTTTGGTATTTTCAGAGATCTAATAAAATGCTTTTCAATTCAAACTTTATTCATGTAGTTGTTGGTTCCAGATAACCAGTAGCTTGTGAAACAGGATTAAATTTTGTTTTCCAAGAACTAATCGCTTACAAGTTCACTACTTTAATAACAAGAAAATGCGAACATTTACAAATTCGATTTTGCTATTTTTGGAGCAGATCATTTTTATGTATTAGATTTTTATGTTCTGAATTAATGCTACATGTCATCGAAAGTAAGTGAACCAAAGAATATTCGTTTTTACATAGTTTTGATTAACATTTATTGGACTTATTAGTTATAAGAGATTGTTTTGGAATTCGATGTATGTTGGGTTACTATGAAATCAATCATGTAAAATCAGTATCCAATCTTTGCGCATATTGATTAAAAAAAAACAGATTGATAGTCTTCAAACTATTCAGTTACATTTTATCTGACTGAAATTCGTATGAAGTGGTGCTATTAACAGAAAAAAAAAATAACAGATTGCGCTATCATTGACTATTTGAAAAAGATTCTATAAATAAATTATGGAAACTTAGTACATAAAATACAAACGCAGTTCCTATCACTGGCTAAGTTGTTAATCTACAAATATCATATATTTGAGGAGAATAAGGTTCTCATAAATAAATTGCTTGCTTTTCAAAGCAAATGCTGTTATACGCTGGACTAATAAAATTGCATACATATTTGTGAATCCATTCGTTCTTTAAAATTAAAAATTGAGAAAGATCGATCAGCATTCAAAGACTACTTTTTTTTCCTAAGCTGTATACTCGGATAGTTCTATCCTATATACTATCCTATATACTCGGATAATTCTCGTTCCGAATAAAGACTTTTATGAATATGACAGTTTTAATTAAGTTTAAAATAAGTAACCAATCAAAACTTTTCTAACAAGCCGTCTTCAAGAAAATAATGAATGTACCGAGATTTTTCTCGTGCAAAATTAGTAGGACTGGATATTTATTCAGTAGAACAACGAAAATGTTATTTAAAGTTATTAAATATGACTAAGCAAGGATATTGTTGTGTAACATTCAGTGAGATGCATAATTCAGTTAAGAAATTGTCTCGAAAATGTACATGTAGTTATTAATGTCTTATGATAAAATTTTCCACTTTTGTTTCTTAGATATAAATTGATCAGTTTTTTTTAATGAACATTATATCTGGAAAAATGTGTTTATATTGCTTCTGTTTCGATGTTGATTATATTGTGATAATGGCCTGCAAATTGCAGAGAAAAGTGGTCAATATCACTTTCAACGAAAATCTATTTTGATTTTCGAAGACCAAGTTCTCAATTCAATCACGTGGTCCTGATAATTTCATATTTTGAATAGAGATGAGAACTAATGTAAAGGAAAAAATCTCATTTTATATGAAATATATGCTGGTCACAAAGTGACATTGTCATCAGAATGAAACTATCACTTATGACGAAAATCAAGACACTAAGACAGTTCGTAACCTAACTAAAATAGTCTGATCAACCTTTTTGAACAATCCAAGAATGTTTTGTTTAAGCCGGAAGCTACGAAGTTTATCAAATTGAACTCGATAACTTCTGTCGTTTTTTATAAGACATAAATTCAAATTGATGAATCCTAACCTAAAACTTATAAAAGTTGTAGGTATATTCATATAATTCAGTTTTTCATTGTGTAAAACACAGTTTTGGAAAGATCAAAATATCATTCATAATATGTTTGTGTTTCGGCATTACTTCAAGTAGATTTAAATTTAGTTTCTAACCAGTCTTCAGATCCCTACGTAAGAAAAATACAGCCTGAAGGTCAAATAAACGTCTATGTATTTTTTGTGTGATGACTGCATTGATATGACATCCCACAGCACTAGGAAGTAACTTAAATTATAAAGAAGCCTAATTATTTTCAATGTTGACGAGTTTAATTGATAAAAGTCAGAATGTCCTTAAATTTCGGCAATCACATTTTGATTTTATTCTTATTTATCTACAGATTTACGATGTAGGCTGTAGCTATTTTGTTGACACAGATTATTCAACGACAAAAAAACTTGTTCCGAAAATTGCAAATAACGATAAATGGAATAAAGTACAATGAAGAATTTTACAAGCAACAGACACTGAAGTTATGATATATATATATATATATATATATATATATGACAATATTTGAAATTAGATCATTCATGAAAGATGAAACTTTAGTCAGTTGATTTTCCCCTATAATGTTGTCATATATCTAATGTATAATGAAATGTGAACCATTTGGTCGCTACATTTTAAGAACATACAATAAGGAATATTATCAGTAGGGTTTTTTGTGGATATTATAGTAATTTAATAATTGAGTTCATAAGTGAATTGATACCAGACCATCATGAAAAACATGGAACCACTAGATGGCCTTATCATCTCATTGTGGGATTCTTCAGCAATACGTATCCACGATCCCACCTCGCAACATTCGAACCTAGGACTTATCGGTCTTTCACGTGAATGCTTAACTTCTAGACCACTGGCATCCAACAGCGTAAATGTTTAACTTCAACTAATCCGCGAAATTAAACGACACATTCACCATTGTCTTCAATGAGTTACTATCTCGCAACAGACCCAGTTGAACTCCACTGGTCACTGCTTCTCACTAGAACTTCAAGAAATACTTCTTGAAGCCAGTCACTAATGAGCACATGATGATTATAATCAGAATGGGGTTTTGTGGAGATTTTGGTAATTTAATAACTGAATTCATGCGTCAAATTTTAGCAAAAAAATACAGTTAATACTCAACTTGTCATTATTATCTTTAAGAACTTATAGATTTGGTTAAGTTAACTGATTACATCTATGTAATAACGTGTTTTTTCTATGATCAATATAGATTACTTTACCAAAACAAAATCATTGTATAATAACGTGTAACTTACATGACAGGCTATATAGAATTAAATTATGAATATTCATATCATTACTATCGATTAATCAATACAAATAATACAAACTACTACTACTAATAATAATAATAAATGTAGTTATTAATTTTATTGAGATTTATCTAATTTACAGACAGTAAATGAATAATTATAGAAAACTATAAGTAATTTTATTGAAGACATGTGAAAGTTAACAATGAAAAATGTTTTTAAAAAATGCAATTTGAACGAAAGAAAGAAAGAACTTTTTTCGAACCGAATAAAAACATGAGATGGATAGTTTCATAATGAAAATTTTAGAAGACAAATCTCTATGTAACATTGTTCATTACACATTTTCAGGATAAATATCTGGAGTTACCGTTAACAAATTTCAAAATTAACAGTATTATTGATTTATAGAAATGTAGTTTTTCTTGAAAAGATCAACAGTGAACTATGTTTGTACAATGATATATTATGGTTGGATAAAGATCCTAAAGCTAAAAAAATTGAACAGAAATGGAGCATTGATATGATAATGAACTATTTTACATATTTTAACTATCATCATTATGAGAAAATATGAAGTATACATCATAAGACCTTACTTAAATATGCTGTTATTAATTATTCTTACTAAATATAAAGTATTCATTTAGCGGTTGTGGAGATTGTTAAAATTTTGATTGAGATCATGAACTGATTAATGTTAGACTGCCATCAAAAACCTGGAAGCACTGGACGGCCGTTTCATCCTATTGTGAAACTTCTCAGCGGTGCGCATCCGCGATCCCGCTCACGGGATTCGAAATCAGGACTTTCAGTCTCGCGCGCGAACGCTTAACCTACTGGACCACTGAGCTGGCCGGCGTCCGATGGTTTTAATGTCTATCCTCAACCAATCCACGAAATTGCGTGGACATCTTCCATTGTACTGAAATAGATACCTGTCTCTACCCGACACGAATTAGCTCCACTGGTTACGGCTTCTCACTAGAACTCCGAGAATTTTCTCACGAAGCTAGTCACTAGTGAGCACATGTTAATTATCAGTATAGGGATTGTGGAGATTATTAAACTTTTGATTGAGATCACAAAGGCTCTGGGTTCGACTCCCGTGGATGCGCACAGCTGAGGAGTCCTACAATTGAACGAAACGACCGTCCAGTGCTTCCAGGTTTCCAATGGTGGTTCAACATCAATCGGTTTATGATCTCAATTAAATATAAATTCTTAGAACTAATAGTTTTTGATTAATACAAACTATTTTTAATATTTCTAAAGAATATTGTATATTGTATTTTCTCTATTGATTTTACTAGTCAAACTAGTACCTAGGAGTGAATTATCATTATTATCTCTTGTCTAATTTTATCAAAATGAATTTTCTTTGTATTATATTGACTATAAAAGAAATGAATTTCTATCCTGTTGTCATAAATAATGTTTAAGAAAATATCTCCAATCAATTAAAACTATTAAGAAATGGAAAACCAAACAAAAAAATATACAAAAAACTGTGACTAATATAATAAATTAAATCAAATGATATGACATTACATTTATCTGTATCTTAGTTACAATAAGTAAAGTATATTTCTCACCAAAGTATAAGTAAAGCTTCAATAATGTTACATGTAATTTATATTGACTTACGTTTTTTTTACATAGAACATATATCATTAGATTGTTGATAATTTCATCTTTATAACAAATGTTGAATAGATAAATTATTTTAAATTCTAGTGCTTTGCTTGATTACATAAGTTTCCTTTTTAGCATAAAATAGAGGTCGATAAACCAATTTTCCTATTTTTGCATTGTATAAGCATTCAGGTGATTAGAATTAGACTTGACAAAGTGTTAATATTCAATTTTATGATTGTCAAAAGAAGATTTTCAGTAAGAAGATAATAGTATCAGTTTCATCCAACATATGTATATGAAGTTGAAACCACTTAGCCACCATTTCTAAATACAATTTTTTTAAAATGTACATTCAAATCTCAAGTGACTTGTTCTTTTTCTCTTCTAGAATATCCAAAAGTATTGACTGATAAACAATCCAAATGAATATAAATGAAGTTAATAGGAAATTGTTCTCAAATAGCATGTTTGTATAGTATAGTTGTATAGTATAATAATCACTATCTAAATATCATCAATTTATTGACAGAGCTACTGATAAAAATCAAGTACAAATATTCCATTTTTAATTTTTAATACTTTTACATTGATCACACAAAATGTTTTTTCTTTGTTTCTATGTAGGTATAAAAGAAACAAAACAAAACTAAATAACGAATTCACCAATTTTGTTCATTGATAATCTCAATTTGATTTATTCATGTTGATTATTCTGTAATTATATGTAATGAACGAAAATGTTTGAAATTCTTAATAAGCATTTCAAATAATCATATGATTTTTACATTAGTTTAATCAAATATATTTAGATAATTATATAATTAACCAAGTAAGGGATGTAGGTTTTATGTTAGTTAATAGTAAAAATTAACTTGAAAAATTAAAAAGTAAGTGAGATACATTGTCTTTTATGAATTATTTAATGAGAAACTATTCGATAATTTAACTCGGTCTGAAGCCCCTCTCTGAGGTTACTGCCGGTCCCTAGTTCGGATAAAGGAGAAAGGTTGGGCATGGGGTTAGTGATTCCATCCCGTGGAAAATTAACTCACTAAAAAATGATAATGAGAAAAATAATTCAAATCGTTTGAGCTCTACCTCGGGATTTAGGAGGTCTTCATTGAGAAAAGTTATGATGCCTCGTGGTGAAAACCGAGTTTCTGTGGAATTCACGAAGCTGATGCCCCTTCTGAAAACCAGAGCAACCATTTATTTAGGTACATGCAATGCTCGTACAATGTAGGAGACTATGAGAGTCATCCAAATTGCTGCAGAAGTGAAAAAATGCTCGATATCAGTGAAACGCATTAGACGCCAGTTGGACAACAAACACTAACTTCAAGGGAACTTCTGTTATGCACCGGCCATGAAGCAAAAAATGCTGCATAAACATAAGGAGTTGCACTGATGCTATTGGATAGTTTACATGGATAAGAATATTTTCGTTTAATGTTAAAATATTTAGTTATCAAAGGTTATGAAGATAGATTCGAAACAATGAATTTGATGCTGCGATAAAATTATCAAGATGAATCTATGGAAATGACTTTTATGTTATTTGATCCTTTTCAGTAATACATACATAACAGATATTGTCCTCACAAAATCATGGTCTCATCACTTTTTGTTAAAATCACAGAAGTTACAATCGAGATTGCGCATTATTCAATCCGGCACTCATGATAAAATATGAGTTATGGAGTTTAATCAGCATTAGAAAATAGGAAAATATGAGTTTAGTGACTAATGATTGATGGATCATTGTAAACTATAGCTACAATTACGATTATATCTTGAGAAAATATGTAACTGAAAACGCAGTATTTAATATTGTTACTTATGAATGGTAATTAGGTTGATGTCTCTATACTGTCACAGTAACAAATGAATAAAATTTAGTAATCATGAGATACAAAAGAATTTAACTGAAATCACTACCTTGTGGATTATCAATTTAAAATAGATTTAGAGTTAAACCCAAGTAAATTTAAAACAAAATACCTAAGTGGTATCTACTTATGTATAATATCATGTGTCCTAGATTCCGAGCTCTAAAATGGATTTAAACCTCTACACGCTGATAAATCATAAATTTTAAAATTAAGAGGTGATTAAATGAGGAACTCCTGCAGCCATTAATTGTTTGAATATTTAACAGTATTCACAAAAGTGAGACTGTCTACAGAGATTATTTATCTCTTCTTACTTGATAAAAAAAATGTCAAGTCTGTTGTTTGTTTTATTCTCAAAAGGAGGTAGAAATACTGTAGTGACATCAACAAATGCTGTTTTTCTAACTATTCTGGTTAAAAACTTTCCGCTTGAAACATCAAATTTTTTCCTTGTTTAAGTGAAAGTAATCTGTCATAGAGATGGCCCCCACGACTATCTACGCAAATCAAACCAAAATTTTACAATCTATACATAGACTCAGAAAATTGTCTACAAACTGTGAACAGAGCAGTTTAATTAGTGAAAGTAAACTATCAAACGTCGTAGTCATTTCAGTAAAACAAAGTGTTTTTGACTGTATGAATTATAAAATCAGCTTTTTGATCATAAAAAAAGGTTGAATAAATAATTAAATCGCTTAGAATTGTCTTCACGTGTTTATAATACATGAGCGATTAGGTTTTTGCTAGGTAGAAAACGAAAGAATTGAAACAAACTCTCTATACATAAATAGAAGCCACAACATAAGTAATTCGCTGTAAAGATCGCTAACGTTCACATGGAATCTAACATGAATTTTAACCGTGGATTCGCAGAACTAAATATGTTAAATTTTTTAAAATTAAAAAACATAGTTCGAAACATCAGAGAATTCTCAACCTGAGACTTCGAACGACTATTCATATTTGTATTGTGGAAAAATAGTGGCTGATGACTTTAATAACAAAATTGTGTATTTGTGCTGCAGTTGACATAAATATTGCCATTTTAAATAGTGCTATTAACTATTTAATCACACATTACAGTTTGTAGATTTGTTTCAAGTCATGACATGGAAATTGTTATGTACTTATAACTCTGTCGATTATCACGTGACAAAATCGTTAATTAGAACACCGACATATACGACCTTGTTCCTGTGCTAAACTAATGATCCACCAACCAACACGAGCATCCTTGAATAAACCCTGAGTTCTTATTGGTCCTCTGTATAGTAACAACTAGCCTAACCCAGCTGGTTTAGTCAAGAATACAATCTTAATTTCCTCTGTACGAATCATGTATTTCAAACATAGCTTATATACAAGCAGACTAGATCGCAACACACCATAAAATAAAAAACAAATATACAAGATCAAGCTGAAAATGGCTGTGAATATGAGAGACTGTAACTAATAAATAGGGAATATATATATATATATATATATATATATATATATATATATACCAGTTATTTATTTTTCGTTAGGATATAACAAATTATAATGAATAAACTTTCCAATGGTTCCAGTTAAGCACTCTATCTATATTTCTAAAACGACATTTGTGATACTAAACAAAACAAGTATTCAATTTACATAAGTTTGAATATAAAGATACCAGTGTTTGTCTTTTCACTATTATCACTCATTCTACTCATAAAATATTTACTTAAAGGTACAATAAATTGAATCTAATTACATAATATTATGTAAAGTGTAATAAATTGAAATAATCTTAACATAAAAACATAATTAATTACAATTAAAAACATAAAAGTATCAATCAATAAAATATAATTCAACATACTATTAACAACTAAATAAATAGAATTATTCAATATTTTAAGTGATATATTCAATTGATAATCGATTACCTATTACACATCATTTTACAATGAATGACTTGTTTGTTTGTTTGTATTAATTCAATTATTCAGAATATTTTTGTTAAAAGTGCATAATGTTCAAAAGTATTTTTGTTTTTTTAAAAAATACATGTAATGAAACGATAAAGTATGAACGGGTGTTAAAAAAAAAACTAAAAAAACAAGGTATTATAAATAGTAGAAACCTATTTAAATTTTAAATGTCAACCAACTAGAACATTATTATTGTATATAAAACAGTTGTTGAATATATTTTTTATTTACATTTCTTTTTTGTTTTTCCTATTAATAAAAAGAAACAAAACAATTCATATCAGATTGCCAAATTTAAACAAAGTGAAAAATAAAAAAAATTATCATTATTGTATTTCATTAAAACATTTATCATTTCTTGTTAAATGTTCATTTTACTGTTGTTGTTTGTTTGTTTGTTTGTTTTTGTAAATAAAGTGAATCAATGGAATAATATTTATTTATTTGAAGTTTTTACAAAAAGAAACAATAAGTGATAATTCTTGTTTTATAAAATAATAATATATATGGATGATATGGTGACCTGCTTGAACATCTGGCCTACCTATTTCTCCTATCTAGATATTTCAACAAGTTATTTAATTTTATTTGTTTTCATATATCATTATAGCTATTAATCGTATAACCTATTCAGGTGCGTTTCTGAATAGTATACAACCTTTTGTGGTACAAATTGTAAAAAGGCTCGATCAGAAATATTGTGGTTGCTGGCAATATGTAGCAAAAAGAATGTACATTATTTAAATATCGATTGATTTGACTTCTAACTTATAACTGACGATCCCTTAATATTTATTGTTAAGATAGACCAAGAAGTAAAAAAACGAAAACTTGTTGAAATGCATTGTACTGAGAATTTTATATTGTACCAAAAATATAATATTGAATAATGTCATAATAATAACAATTATCATTATTATTATTGTTCTCGTATCAAGGTATGAATAGTCAATGATTACAATATTTGTAAAGGTTAAAAATTAAATGTAATGAAAACCGATCGATACAGTCTTTCAAAAAAATCAATTTCTGTACTTTGGTTGCTAATTATTGGCAGTATAATGCTAAAAATAAGTATTCCAAAAGTATTGCATCTGATGATGTATTTTGAACGTAAGATATAATCTGAATGTTACTAACTTCCAACAGCTATTGTATATTTCTTTTTTTGTATAATAAACGTATCAAGAAAGTGTTTGATAATTTAAATGTAATTGGAATAGGGGTGTTATTGGGAGAAAGTTGTACAATGAACTCGATTTTCCTTTCAAAATCATTTATTTCCGATCTGGGAACAATTTTTAAGACATATTCATTTATTCCAAGAGTGTGTTAACAGTAATTAAACGATTGAAGTGTTACTGGAATTAGAAATACACATCTTCAAATTCCAAAAAATAGTTAATATACTAAAACATTCATTCAGTTCGTTCTAAAATCTTCATCTCACTCTTACATTTTCACCATCAATTGACATTGTAAAAAGTTGAAAATTACAATAAATAAGTATGGCTGATTGATTAATTATATCATGAGATCGGGCTCTAGGTAACGCGTAAACTAGTAAAGATAGTGTTTACCGGGTTCATTTTTTATACATTACTTTAGAAAATTTGTTGAACCGACTTATGATTACAGAACCCCTTTGTCGAAATTTTTGGTGTTCTGCATGATATCTGAAGATTTATCTAAATGCTGATGAATAAAATGGTATTCATTGAGGAGTAAATATAATTAAACACAACTTATTTTCCCGTTTAGTGAAAAATAACTGACCATCAATTCACAAACTGTGGATTTACTAACCATTAA